AAAAACAAATAAAAAGACACAAAAACAAATAAAAAGACACAAAAACAAATAAAAAGACACAAAAACAAATAAAAAAACATCTGTGCACTAAATGCCTTCAAAAGCCAGCGAAGGCGACGGTGAGCCACCCCGTCATCAGCGTCACGCCGCCAACTGGCGTCAGCGGCCCCACGGTCTTGCCCGGAGCACCCAAGCCCATGGCGTAGATGGAGCCAGCGAAGAGAGTGGTGCCCAGAAGCAGAAGGTAGAAGGCGCGGTTGAGGCGTCTGGCAGCGGAGCTGTCGGGGTCAATGGACTTCATGGCGGCAAATAACGCCATCATCGCGACGGCATGCACAAGATTAAACTGCACCGCCAGACCCCACGCATGCTTCATCTCGGGAGTCATGTTCGGGCCCAGCGCGTGCTCGCCGAAGCCACCGGCTGCAACGGCAATGAACGCCACGACGCCGATGATGATCATGGTTGTGTCCTTTACCTTCGCCATGCTGCGCTCCTTGCCTTGGATGTTTTCCTTAACAAATTACGATTCCTTTTTTTTGCTTTCTCGGTTGTCGCTGTCTTCCCTTTTTTTTTCACCTTATCATGCAAAGCGCGTGGAAGTGAGGAAATGAAAACAACAAGAGAGAAAAAAAAAAGAACGTGAGACTCAAGAGTTACGCAAATTTCATGGATGAACCAGAGATTCTCGAAAGGAACTGTTGATGGTAGAAACAAGCATGTATACGCCACTATCTTTTTCTCACTTCCATTTTTTCTGCACGCTGCCGATTGGCTCGGGCATTATTTTCTCTGCAAACATTTGCTGTAGAGGTCGATAAACTGAGCAAAAGTCACCCCATCATTTCTTTCGGATGCCGCTTGAATCCGTGACAGTTCGAAAAAAAGTCGGGGCTCAAGTGCCGTGGCGTTCGTCTCGCCAGCACTGAGGCAAAGGAGCTCATGTAGCGCTCGTAATACGGTTTTGGGAGCAAGTGTGCGTGTAAACGGTGCCTCTAGCGCCCACTCGTAGAGGTGGGCATCGCATGCGTCGTCCTCCGCATGGGCATCGGCGTCAAACGAGACCTGCAGCTTCCGTGCAAGAAGATCCCCCCACCATATGCTCAAGTCAAGCAGCGTCTGCTCATCCAGCTCCAAAGACGCGTTCACATTCACGTAGTCGCGCTGGGTCTGAAGCGTCTGCCTTGCTGCTGGCGAGGTCTCCACTACGCTGTACAGATGCCGCCGTTTTGAATCATCTATCCAAGGTGTGTGGAGCTCCGCGTAACATGCTCGTGCGTCTCGTGGGGACGTATGTGGAGCAACCCTGCCACGCAGACAAATGCCTCTCCGGCTAGTAACACGGACGGGAGACGTGTTTGCCGACAATGGGGTTCCCTTCAAAGGCGGCTGCCGCAAGCGGAGGTCACCGATGTCTTCGAAATGGAGCAACTTGCGGTGCGTTGGTGACTTGTACTCGATGGCACCGAATGGTACACGCATTGACAGGCCGCGGGTCTCCTCAAAGTTCGGCACCCTTCTCGGGGACGGAGCGTTCACCGTGGGGTGAAAAGTACACTCCGTCAGGTGCGCTTCCTCCTGACGGGCGTTAAGCTCGTCGCCAAGACAGCAAAGACGCTCCCTGCGACGTGCCTCCCATGATCGCTGCCGCGCGCAGAAGGCCCCAATTTGAATCGGGGAAATTACGGTCCTTGCCTTTTGCTCCTCACGCCGTGGGCCACTAGGAGACATCAATGACGTCTCTGCATCCGCGCCGTGCCGCTTCTGCCGTTTTTGTTGGAATGAGGAGGCCACAGTGGCCGTACAGCCTGAGGAATTGTTTGGCGGTGAGAACATCCCTCGGTTGATATTTGGCGTGAACGCCACTTCTTCCCCTAACCCAGACTCACGCTTCGCATCGACGCGGCGGGAAAGTCGACTAATCTGATCCGAAAGCTGCTGCGGTGAAAGCCGCAATGCAGGAGACTCACGTCGCGCGTACTCCTCACGCTGAGCTGGACGCTGCTGCCGCACTGCAACGTCATCCCGCACACGCCCCAGCAGCGGGGGGTAATCCATTGTGAGTCGCTGGGAGTTTATCGAGGCGTAGCGGTGCGTGGCCGCACCGTTGGAAGTTGCGCCCCGTTGCCTGCTCGCTTTCCTGCCGCTGCTCACCAGACCGGCACCACCCGCCGTGTCTCGCACGCGCAATATCCCTCGCGTGTCGGGCGGCATTTGCCGCGGCTGGCTGCACGTCCTCTCCACCTCCTTCCCCCTCGCCTGCCGCAGTTTCTTCTTCTCCAGCCGAGTTGAGCACCGTTGCTTCCACCGCATGCCATCATCGTGAACCGCATGCGGATGGTGCCCTCCCGTCACATTCTTCTCACTGAAAACGGAACAAAGCAACAGCTCCCTCGCTGGATCGTGCTGCACCCTGCGAATGCCAAGCTTCTCCATCCGGTGCGATGCCCACCAACTGAAGAGGCACCGAGCCGTTACGGAGTTCGTCGCGTCGTTCCAAACCCGGCGAAAACGTCGTCTCGCAACATCATCTAGCCACAGCAGCACGCTGGGGCGTCGTTGGGCACATGCCGAAGCTGCAACGGCGGCAAGGAGTGAAAGACCGTACGTGCCGGTGCCTCGGAGGGTGCCCACATGTGGAGGAGACACAGTGGGGTGTGACTCCGCAGTGGTGCCTCGCGTCAACAACAGGCGCTCAAGCAGAGAGGCGGCAGGCGCTGCAACGGAGGCAGAAGTCATGTCCCCACCTCCCCCAGGCTGAGTGCACAACGACAAGAAAAAAAGAGGAGCCATGGCAGAGTCGGGAAAATACAAAGAAAAAAAAATGGAACTGCAGTAGAGCCTACCGGCCTTTTGCAACGCTCCAACGCCTCAAACCGGCGCCCAACAAATAAAAAAACAACAACAATGAACGCAGTCAAAAAGTAAAGACCAAAATGACCTCCGCAGTGAAGGAAGCACGGCACTACAGAGCGCCATGCATGTCTCTTTTGTAAAGAAAACATACGTATATGCATACACACATATATATATACAAATTTCCATGTTTGGGAAAAACTGCATAGAAGGATCGCATCAAAACACCGCATGCCAGCAGTAACAATCGCTTTCGCGCCCTGAAAAATAAAATCAAAAATCAAAAAATAGCACAAAAACACTCTTGGCGAAAAAAAGGGTGTAGTGATTCGGCGAATGAACGAGGCGATTCACAAACACATACACACATGAGCCTCCGCCCTCCAAGGAGAAAAAACGAAGAAGGGAAAAAGTAATTATACATCTGGCAAAGCCCCCATCCCTTCATGCACCCTCCGCCCTCAAAGGGAGTGAGAAAAATGTACAACAGGAACCAGGGGGCCACTGCTTGGTTCAATGCTCCCAGCACTCCACCGCCCACCACACACACACAGACACAATACGACCAACACAACTCAAAAAGTTTATGCCGTGGTGGGCGAGGTTGCCGTGAACGCACGAGGTGGCAATCTTTGGGCCTTCGCACAACCGCTGAACCCCTAAACGTAGAGAGTTTAAGCAGCGGGAGGTTGTGCCGAGGAGGCAGACACAAAAACAGACAAATATGAAAGCACTGCAGCTCAAAGTGGTGGAATCGAAAACAAAAATGCAGTTAGACATATAAAGAAACAAGGGGATTTCGACCAAACGCCGACACATCCGGTTCACATCAGCAGTTTGTACACATCAGTTGCAAAAAACTCTACAAACACACAAAATAAAAAACAATAACAGCCACATTACCCACTACACCACACCACTTAAAGCTCCATTACGTCGGTTTTGCACCTCCCACCCTCCGCTCAAAAGAACATCATGGCTGCAACCCACAAAACAGCAGCAGGGAAAAGAATGAAAACACCACGTGCAGAAAACACACAACGGTCCTTGACAACCGGACACACCTCCGCGTACCTCGGGCAAACAATACGGCCACCAGAGAAGGTCTTTCTCGGCCTGATGGAGGTCCCCTCAGGACACGGGTACCACTCATCGTCACCAAGATAGCGGATATTCGCCGCCCCATCGGCGCAAGAAACTTCGACGCAGACATCGCCTGGGGAAGAGGAACCCACTGCAAGGGAGTCTCCCTTCACACACAATGAATTCGGGCCAACGCGGCTTCCGGGCATTGCCAATGAATTGCCGTCTGTGCATCCAGTGTCAGGATTCGGCTCCACCACGGGACAGAAGTCCATCGAGCGGAACGCACCGCCCATTCTAGGGTCTTTGAAGTACTGGTACTCAGGAGAAAGGTCCTCAGGTTGCATGAGCATGGCACAGGTCCCAAGGGCGCGACGGTCGGCGGTGCAAAAAAAATGCCCTCCACAGTGGGAGGGACACAGAACATATTCGGGTATGTGCTGACGCCGTCTTCGATGCACTTCCTCTCCAGCAGATCGCAGCCAGCATTCCTGCCCCAGCTCATCTCCTCCTCCAACCCCCAATTGATGCGATAAAACCCCATATCCTCAAGCGCCGCCAGCGTCAGTGCCGTGTAAATATAATTCCCCAATTTCCTGTTTCATCAGCTCGTCCCTGGCATTGCGCATGTTTCCAATGAGACTTCACAAAATTGAACTACCCGCGTCCTCCAGTTCCATGCCCGGGGCGGAACTGCAGTTGTAATGCTCCCGTGCCTTCTCCTTCGTCTTGGGAG